CCCTCGGCCGCAGCCTCCCCAGGCAGGGATGGGCAGCCAGGCTGGGTCTCGCCCTGCGCTTCTGGTCTGCAGCCCCTGGGCTCCTCCCGGCCCCACCAGCTCCCTGGGCCCAGCCCAGATGTGCCCAACAGCAGGTTAAGTCGTTGCCCTGGCACCAAGGAATCATCACAGTGCTTTTGCCTCATGGGGACTTTCATTAGCAGCCTGCCACTCACCAGCCCCATCCGTGCCTGCCGAGCCGAGCAGCTGCTTGTGCCCAGCGCAGCAGCAGCAGCGGCCACGGCAGAGGCGGGTGCGTGGCCGTACCCTGACACACGCTGTGGCAGGTGCACCGGCGGCACAAGGACGTGCCATCCTGGGGTGCACAGACACACTGAGGAGCAGGGGCTCCCCGGAAAGGCACGTGCAGAGGCACCGTTGGTGCATGCATGTGTAATTGTGCACGTGTGCATGGAGACGTGCTCGCAGGGAAGCGTGAAGGCATTCGCCTGCATGCAGAGCGGCACCTGTGTGCGCAAGGAACCGCAGGCATTTGTTCATTTGCTGCGTTCACCTGCACGCTTGCTGCAGGTGCACACTGGGCCGGGCAGGCACTGGGCCGTCTGGGTGCAGCTCACGCAGACACGGGAGCACGCACACTCGGAGCTCACCGTGTGCTCTCGCCCACATGCAGTCGCTCAGACGTGTATCGCACGCCTCGGCGTGCTCGGGCATGCGCTCGGGTCCCTCCCCGCGGCCCAGCAGAGCCCACCACTGCACCGCGTCACCCTGCCACCGCATTAGCACCCGCACGGCGCCAGCGAGATAAATGGGAGCTGTCAGAGGCACCTTGTTTGCTGCTAACCTTTGGAAATGCCACAGCGCCCCGGGCTGTGCTGCGCCGGGGGGAGCGGGCCCACGGGGATTGTCGCTCACCACCTCCAATTAATCTCCTTGCACTAACGAAGGCAGCGGGGTGACAGGGAAGAGACCAGCTTGACCCTGCGCCCATGGGGAGAGCTGGAGACCCCGATCAGCAGATCGACGCCTGCTCAGCCCGCAGCAAGGCGGGGGGATGGCTCGGAGCCAGGCACAGGGGCAGGCTGGCTGTAGGAACGAGGCTTTTGGGGAGGGTTGTGGCAGGTGCTCTGTTCCCAGCGCAGGCTTGTTTAGCCTTGAGGTGGTACCCCATCAGCCTCAGCCTGTTCTCGGGGTGCTGGGAGCTTATCACAGCCTGCACCGGGGCAGCCGGTCCACCCTGCCCCTCTCTGCGCTGATCTGCTCACCTCTGCCAAGGTGACCGTGGGTCTCGGGGGAGCAGCTGACGGCGCTTGGCCCTGCCAGCAAATGGGATGTGAGTGGCCATCACAGCTGGTCCTGACAAGTCAAATTGATGCCGGCACCAAGAGCCTTCCCAGTCCCTCCACAGCCACCCGCAGCCCTTCCTGCATCCTTGCCTGCTGCTTGTGGACCTGCAGAGCGACACGCAGGTGCCTGCAGACGCCTGGCAGCCCTGCACGGCTCCACATGCGCACAAAAAAGTGTACAAGGGTCTTGAGAGCAGCAAAACCATATATCGTTGTCTTGGAGTAATGCGTGGATGCAGCGGCGCATGCATGTGTAACAGTAAAAAACAAGCATACCAGACACACGACTGGTGCATCGCAGCGGAGCCCGGAGCGCCGTGGGGCCAGGCACAGCCGCCTCTGGCATGGGGGACTGATGCTAGTGCAGCCACGGAGGGCTGGCACTCTGCACACACCCGTGCAGGGTCGGGATGCTCTGGGACCCCCATGTGCGCCCATGAAGTGTGTCTGAGACATTAACGTGCACGTGTGTGCGTGCTGCACCCCGATCACTCTCAAGCAGAAACATTAATATTTAACGTGAGGTGTGAGTGGGACCTGCCCTGAATGCTGACAGTGCTGGCAGGGTACGGGGGGGGTGACCTTGGCTCCCCTCGGCGTTTGCCTGGGCCCTGCTCCACTGTGCCCCAAGACCCCCAGCCGGGCAGGGGAAGCCATCCTGGGGCTGCAGCAGGGGCTGCGGTGGTGAGGGTCTCCCGCATGCCCCCGCGCTGCCCGCGGTCCAGCCGCCGCAATCGATAGCCCCGGCTGCGCTGGCAGTCACTGCCCTGCTCTGCAATTCCCTTTCATCCCCCGCTCCCCCAGCAGCTCCTGGGGAGGGACCTGCGAGTGGGGGAAGGCTGCCAGCCCGGCCCCTCGCCCTGAGGGGCTGGGGGGCACCTCTCCCCCTACAGGGGCAGGGGCCTCTCTCCCGTGGGAGTGTCCTGTCCGTGCCCTGCCTGTGCCCCACAGCCCCTGGCCCCATGCTGCCCCATCCTCGGGCCCAGGCCTGGCCTGGGGACCCACAGGCCTCAGGCATGGAGAGATCTGGTGCCAGTACCTCCTTCCCCAGTGCGTGCCCGTCCCTGGAACTGCCCCGTCCCTGCTGCCTCTGTCTCCATCAGTTCCCTGTCACAGCCCCATTCCCATCACATCCCCATCTCCTCTGGATCCCCCTCACTGCTAGCAGGGGATCATGGAAGGGGGGTGAGTTGGGGGAAACTGAGGCAGGGGGAGGCGGCCCAGGTAGCTCATGTAGCCCTGCCGGGGGACCCAGTTGTCCTGGCCGCAGCCCCAGCTGAGGTGGGAAGCCAGCACAGAGCTGAGAAGCCTCCAGAAGTCGTTCCCTGGCTGGTGGGGGCTTGTGTGTGTGTTCTCCCGTGGGCTGCAGCCTCCATGCTGCTCCCTGGCCCTGCTCCGTGTGTGCAGGTGGGTTTGGGGGGCTCCCCCCGCCCCAGCTGCAGGGTGACTGGTGCCCCTCACCCGCCTGTCTCCCACTGCCCCCACGGTGGGTCACGGGGGCTCCCTGGCTTGTGAATATGCACGAGGGGTTTATGATGGAGCGCAGCCGGGGTGGAGGGTGAGTGTCTGTGTCGCTGGGGCCACCGTCCGCACCCCACCCCCTGCAAAACGCCACTCTCCTGGCTGGGGGGGGGTGCTGGGGGGCTGCCCTTCTCCCCCTCCCCCATTTATCTCTCCATCTTGCGGTCCTGCCGCACTCGCTCCCTCTCTGCCTGGTGAAGGCACCCGGCTTTGAAGCTGCGTTGAAATATAGATAAGGGCGAAGGCAGCAGCCGCGCTCAAAGAGAGACGGGAGGGAGCCGGGGGACGGCCAGACCGGAGCGGGGGGCTGCAGGGGTGCTCAGCCGCAGCTTCGCACTGCACAGCCCCTGTGCCCCCTCCCCGGGCTGGATTGAGACCCCACAAATCCTCCTCCCCTGCCCACAGGCCCAGGACAGGCAGCCCTGCCCGGACTGGCCAGTTCCTTGGGCAGAGGCAGAGCCCGCCCAGAGTGGCCAGTGCCAGCAGCCGCAGGCAGGGATGCCTGCTCCTGCCCGCGCCTGCCCGCGCTGCCTCCTCTGCACAGGCCGGAGCAGATTTATGGCTCAGCCCGGCACACGCAGAGCGGGGATAAGGCAGCAGACCCTGCAGGCAGCAGTGTGGAGCAGGACGGCCGAGGTGCTGCTCCAGCCCTGGTGGGTGCCCAGCAGAGACCCGTCCCCGCATACAGAGCGGCCTGGCCGTGGAGGAGGGGGTGCGGGGTGTCACCCCTCCCTGATGGGGGTCATGAGGACACTGCGCTCCGAGGGGGAAGCAGCATGGACTGTTCTGACGGTGCTGCAGGGGGGCTGGTGCCAGGCTGAGACCCCAGCAGGGGCAGGTAGGAGCTGTCCCCGGCACCTCTGCCCTCCTTCCAGCCCCGCTGGCCGCATTCAGTGCCGAGGCGTGCCTCAGTTTCCTATGGGAGCACAGTCCCCCCGCTCCCCCCAGGCCCTTCCAGCTGGTGCTTCTGCTCGCTGCCCTCCTTCCCTGCTCCCCTCCTCCCTGCATCCCCCTCGGGAAACAGGTTGTCCAGAGCAAAAACTGCCAGAGCAGCCCGAGCACCTGCCAGCTCACGGGCGACAGTGATTGACGAGGCCGGGGCGCTGGAGCAGCATCCTGCACACCGGGAGCAGCTGGCAGGGCAGGCAGGGGCACGGCGGGCGCTGGGGTGTGGAGCTAGGAGCAGCCAGGCTGAGGGATGGGGAAGTAGGGGGGGAGGCAAGGGAGGGACGTGGGACATAGAGCCAGGGTCCTAGGGCTGACAAGGTGCTGGCTGGCTCTGCTCGCCACCACTGAGCTGTGCAATGTCGGTGCCAGCAGCCGGACAGGCAGAACCTGGGCAAACCCCAGGAAGGGGCCACCAGTCCCATCCCAGCTGGTGCCTGGCGAGGGGGGGGGGGTGTGTGAGTCCCAGCCCGGGGCATCCCAGCCCCCTTGGTGCCTCCTTAACTGGGCTGGCGGCTCACCGAGGTTGGAGAGACCAGGCAGCTGGTCTCCATCGCATCCCTGCCTCGGTTTGCCCCACCAGGAGAGGAGCTGCCTCTCCCCACACTGTGAGAGCCCTTGCAAAGGGCCCCTGGCCCTGAGCTGGACGGGGGGGTGTCCCTGTGCCAGTGCAGGGGCCTTGCAGCTGCCTGGCGTTTCCTCCCCTCCACTGCCTGTCTGTTCTGCTTTTGCTGCAAATTCCCTCCCTCGTCAGGATGCAGAAAATGAACCCAGCCCCCACCCCCCCGCAAAGCGAGGGGTCCCCGTTCTCATTGCTCGTGTGCCCCCGCACACAGTGCACCCCCCCGCACACAGTGCACCCCATCTTCAGCCGTGTCCGCCCAGTGCAATTATCGAGGAGGGCGGAGCGGCTGCCGTGCAGCCTGGCGGGGGTCTCTGTAATTTCAGCGGCAGATCAGAGGCGCTGGGTAATGCAATTAGGCTTCCCTGGCAGGCGGTGCGGGGCTCTGATGCCTCCCCGTCTCTGTGCACGTTGCTGCCCGCCACCCCCACGCATTTTAATAGGCCTCAGCTGTGGTAGGGCAGCCAGTTATGAGTGGTCCGGCATCCTGCTTCGTCCTGCCTCAGGCACCGGGGTGATGCTGGAGAAGCGGCGTCGGCTGCTGGGGTGTGTCTGGGACAGGCCTGTGCGGGGCCGAGCAGGCTCGGGGGTGGCATGGGCAGAGTGCAGCTTTGCTCGGCTCCGGGAGGGCTGGGGACACGGTGCCGAAGGGTGCATGGCCACAGAAGGGGTGCGGGGGGGGAACGCGGATAGAGAAGGGTGCATGGGGACAGGCAGGAGGATGAGCGAGGGGGTGGCAGGCACAGCTCATGCAGTCTCTGCCCTCTTTCCCCCAGACGGTGTGTGCGGGGGGCCACATTGCCAAGACCCTGGGGTACCTGGAGCTGGGCACCTCCGGCCTCCTCAAGGATGTCCCGTATGGCTCCCTGAAGCCCCCAGTGCTCAACCCTGGGCGGCTGATTCCAGCTGAGCCCCCCCAGGGCGCAGGGATGCCCTCTGTGCGGAGCCCCTGGGACTGGCAGAAGAACCAGACGGCTGGGGAGCTGCCGAGCCCCCGCGCCCGGCGCAAGCCCTCGCTCAAGTCCGGCCGCACCAAGAAGATATTCGGCTGGGGTGACTTCTACTTCAACATCAAGACGCTGAAGTTCAGCCTCCTGGTGACGGGGAAGATTGTCGAC